AACCTTAGACCGCACCTCATGAGTAACATGTGGCGATGGGTCTGTAGGAAATAGTTGGTGCGATTCTAGCCTGTGTTGGTGCACTGAGCCCCTAATGTATTGTAGCATATTTGGCGGCAGATATGTAGAGAATCGTTGGTGCGATTCTGGCCTGTGTTGGTGCACAGAGCCCCTTGTGTATTGTAGCATATATGACGGCAGATATGTGGAGAATCGTTGGTGCGATTCTGGCATATGTGACGGCGGATATGTAAAGAATCGTTGGTGCGATTCTGGTCTGTGTTGGTGCACAGATTTCAATGAAAGTTTCACGAGTTGAATATGCATTGCTTATGAATTGTAAAGAGTAAAAAATTGTTAAAATTACTGTGTTGGAACTTGTTGATCGGACCTTTCACAATAAATCATGTTGTGCAGGAAGCACTGTGTATGAAGCCTTAATGACAAGGCATTGTCAATTATGACAGTTGACTATTGTACTTAGACTTAGGAGAAGTAAAGTACCATTTGGAATCGACCTTGTTTCTATTGGCAGAATAGCCGAGCTAGATTAATCTCTGAGCATATTTTGTCTACAGGCACTGCAACCGAGGACGGATGCTAGTCAGAGATGGCCGTGTCGTGGATTGATGGTGCCATAGTACAACAAGCAGCGCCATCTAACAATTTAGTTTTGCGAACTAATAATATGTACCCACTCATGTCAGGATGGACGACCGGACGAATTGGTGTTTGTTACAGGAATGCATGAAAATACACGCCCGAGGACGGTCGTACGTCAGGACGGCCGTGTCGGAGCGTCTATAAAATACCCGGTTGGATCGAGGTAGGAGGGAGGGTATATCGAGAAACCCCCTCTTGTGTCTGTAGTATAAAGTTCACTGTAGGTGCCGTGCGCGGGAGATTCCGCCTAAGTCATTCAACGAGTGTGGTCATTCTACTAGTGCTAAGATAGTGTCGTGGTTCTGTTCGTTGTTGTAATTCTTCTAGTGCAGGCAAAGAGGATTGGTGTTGCTGAGAGGCTGCCCTGTATTACATTGAGATAGTAGTGTTGCTGTTGGTTTTCATATTTTGGTGTTATCATGTAATTTCGTACCTCACGTTACACTGATGTGTGATTGTGGCGGAGACGTGTTACGGTGTGGTCGAACTGTAATTTCACTATACTGAATGTATAGTGCGTTACGTTGTCTTATATGTTGTTGTTGATAATGATTAAACTGCGTAAGTAAGAGAGCAAGTTGAACATCCGCTCTCACACTTTTATTATTTTTAACAATTAACGCTATCCTGATGTATTTCCGAGATCAAAATTGGGATCCTCTATTCTAATCTCCGACATCAGAAGTGGGATCTCCCGTTGTAAGTTTTCGACAAATACTTACCAAATTTTAATGTAGAAGATCCAAATTCTTTCTTAGTTTATTTAGATTGTGTAAATTTGTATGGTTATGCTATGATGCAGCAACTACCTTATAAAAATTTACGGTTTTTAAAACAAAAAGAATTAAGAAGTTTTGATATTAACTCTATTAGTTCTAATAGTAATGAAGGATATATACTCGAAGTTGACATGCAATATCCACGCAATATTCATGATGAACATTCTGACTTACCGTTTGCAGCAGAAAAGTTAACAGTTCCAATATCATTAAACATTAGTAATAAGAAATTGGTTGCGAATCTCTATGATAAATATAAATATGTTATCCATTACCGTCATTTACAAGAATGCCTAAGAAACGGACTTGTTTTATTGAAGATTCATAGGATTTTAGCTTTCAATCAAAAAGCATTTTTAGAGCCATATATTTTCCTAAATACATCTTTAAGACAAAATGCTACATCTGATTTTGAAAGAGACTTTTTTAAAAAACAAAAAAATTCAATTTTTGGAAAAACTATAGAGAACAAAAGAAAACAAGTCGATGTTAAGCTAGTAAATGTATGGAAAGATAATTTTAATAACACAAATAAAGTCTGTGATGCCGAAAAATATGTTAGTGCGCCTAATTTCAAAAATTTACAATTATTTCTGATAGCCTCGTAAAAATTCAACTACGACCAACAAAAGTGATCTTGGATCGCCCAATATATGTGGGCTTTACTATTTTGGAACTTGCAAAAAGTCATTTATATAATTTTCATTATTCTGTAATGAAGAAAATATACAAAGATAATAATATCAAACTTTGTTACACTGATACAGATAGTCTTTTGTATTTAATTTACACTGAAGACTTCTATAAAGATATGAAAGATAATATTAAGTACTTTGATACAAGTAATTTTCCTGAAAATAATAAATACCATATTCCAAAAGCAAATAAACAAATACCAGTGTATTTTAAAGATGAATTAGGTGGTGATATTATAACAGAGTTTATAGACTTGAAAGCAAAATTATACTGCGTTAATACTTTAAAGTCCGCAATTAAAAAAGCAAAAGGTGTGAGAAAGCATATTACATAAAAACTTTTTAACAAAAAAATTAAACCGCCGAAAAAACTGAAAAGCAAAAAATAATAAACCTTTTTTATTTAACCTTAATAACTAAGTTCTTAAACTAATTTAAGTATACCTAAGTATATATTTTTGTAATTATTTTGAGTTTTTAATTAACCCTAATAACTAACTTCTAAAACTAATGTAAGTATACCTAAGTAATTTTGAGTCGGCGCCAAACAAGCAAATTAATTATTTACGTAAAGCCTTCGATCAATCATACCAACTAGATATCGGGTTGGAGCAAAAAATACGTCCAAGTAAATAACAACGCACTGGAGACGTGAGCTCTTATTTCGTTTAGTTGATTTGAAACACAGCCAATGTAAACACGTTTCACAATGCCGCATTGTATTTTTAAAAGTTGCAAGAATAATGCCCGAAAGAGCATAAATTGCTTTTTCGGGCATTATTCTTGCAACTTTTGCGTACGTGCAAATGTGCGAGGCCATCAGCAAAATTCGGCGCGTACGGCGCGTATGGCGCGGACAAATGTGCGTTCAGCTTTAATGTTTATCGCTGAAGATTTCACGTTGCATTGTTAATTTGATTTTGATTTAGTTATTTCTTTAAATTTAAGGTAATTTAGTGTTCTTTGTTCATTGATTGTTTGGCGCCGACTCAAAATTACTTACATTAGTTTTAGAAGTTAGTTATTAGGGTTAATTAAAAACTCAAAATAATTACAAAAATATATACTTAGGTATACTTAAATTAGTTTAAGAACTTAGTTATTAAGGTTAAATAAAAAAGGTTTATTATTTTTTGCTTTTCAGTTTTTTCGGCGGTTTAATTTTTTTGTTAAAAAGTTTTTATTTTATAATTTTTCGTGGCTATAATCTACTAATTACTACATGCTTAGTTTTTGACAACTTTCAAATTAGCTACCTACCTTAATTTAGCCTTTAACTGTTATATAATCCTACTTTAACTATTATTTGTTGTATAATAATATAAATTCTTTAAAAAACAGGCTTTATATACCACCATGGGTAGGCCTACAAAAAATGCTGCTCGAATGAGAAAAAGATATTTAGAAGAATCTAATAATGAGAAAAATAAAAGTTTGGAAGCAAATAGAAAGGGAATTAGATTAACACGTTCACAGGAGTGTTTAGATCAGCGCGAGGAAAGACTGTCGAAAATGAGAAGCTACAATAACGATAGGTTATCGCAAGAATGTGAAGAACAACGCGCTCATTGTTTAGGTCTGATAAGAGAGCGACTTTCAAATGAAACTGAAGACGAACATTTGCTACGTTTGGATGCTGCTCGTAACTGTTCTGCAATGGTGATACTTCACGAAACTCCCGAGGAGAGAACTAATCGTTTGAGCGCCATGCAATAAGCGGCTCGCGAGCGAAGAAACCAGTGTAATGCAGATAATTTTAAGAAAGCGATTAATGTCTATGCTGACTTGCCGTGTTCAATATTCGAAAAAAGCTTGTACCCTCAGCAACATACGATATTGCAAACTACAAATTTAGGCTCTATTTTCCCTAATGAATTGGTAGCTTTAGGTAATATTGTTACTTGTTCACGATGCTCAAATAATATTAAAAAACCAACACTCCACCGTAGGCCTATTGGAATAAAATGTCGGTAGCTGCAAGGCCTACAGAAATTGATGACTTATCGGAAATTGAGAAACGTTTTATTTACAGAGTAGGTAGTGCCATTTCTTAAAATAATAAAGTTGAAAATCGTTTGAGCCAAGACTGGTGCAAAGGGCAGGCAATTAATTTTATTTAGGATGTGGTCGAGCTGGCGGAGCAACTTCCGCTTGAACCTAATCAAACTGGATTAGTGCTTGTATTAGAAAGTCGTGAAAATTTAGAACGTTCTAGGGAGTTTCAAATACATGTAGGTAAACTTCAATTAGCATTGCAGTGGCTCTTAATGAATAATGCACTCTATAAAGATATTCGCACCTGCACATGGTCATGATAGTGAAGAATCAATTGTTGAACGGTCAACTGTACCTACAAATAACTATACTGCCTTGAGTAACAATGTATCTATATTATATGGTTCTTTTCATCAGGACAATGAACGATTTAGTCCAGAGTCACGTGGTCAGCAATGCACAGGGATTGCAACTATTGCTAGTGTGGCATTTTCTCTGATAAATCCCAATAATTGGTGCAAAAGCGACATAGATTACATGTTATTGGTAGGATATAAATATTATAGAGACTGTATTGCGGCTCGGGCTAACCCCAATTCCGAAGAAGCACATATCGAGTATTTGGCTGCAACTGAGCTTTTACCTAATATCACATACAACTATCGAAAAGTTGATATCAATGTTCGTCATGAATCAGCCTTTAATGGTCACGTAGACAACGACAATAGTGAAGAAGGATTTTCCAATTTGTTAAATGCTCTAATAAATGTATTTGCTACATATGGGAAGAAACCTCCAGATAATGCTGTTCCAAAAATGTGATGATGAGACGTAACAATCAGTATCTGACGGGCTCGTCAATGGTGCTATGGGTATTGTAAAAATAATAAAATGGCCATCACTACGCAGGGATCAACTAGAGGAAGGAGAATTACCGGATTGCGTATTAGTAAAATTTGACGAAGAAAGCATAGACAGCAGACTAAAAGAAAGCGATGGCTGTGTCGCCATACCTTCAGTGGTAGCAACTTTTCAAGGTACGAAGGGTAATGGCGATATTGAGCGCAGGATGTTGCCGATAATTTTATGCTGGGCCGTCACGGTTCACAAATTACAAGGTGCGACCCTTGATAAAGCTGTAATCGACCTCGGAATGAAAGTGCCTGCCAAAGGACAGGCATATGTGGCACTGAATAGAGTAAAACACTTGAGGGCATTGCTATATCTGATTTAGAGCCAAATAAGGTATTACACAAACCTCACGATGAACGAGCTTTAGCAGAAATGCAGAGACTGAGAGGTCTACACACAAGAGACTGACAGCTCTAAAGCTCATTCATTGTGAGGTTTTTTTGTAATGTAATGTAGTGTAATTATTATGTAATGTAGTAATATACCACTCAGAATTAAAATCTGTGAGTAAAAAATAAATCCAACCCTATTTTCCCCCCCTTAGGGTAGACATTTTATTTCCAAATTTATATGGGACCAATTTCGAGGTATACCCTATCCAATAAAAAAAGAATTATCAAAATCGGACTACTCTGTAAAAAGTTATGCGTGGTCATACATAAAAAAAATATACACGTCGACTTGAGAACCTCCGTTTTTTCGTCGGTTAAAAAAAAAAACTATTGAAAAGTATAGAGATATTTTAAATTCTAAGAAAACCCATAGAGACACTATGTACGTAATAAGATCTAAGAATCATATACTTTATACGCAAAAAATAAATAAGCTCATTCTTAGTGGCAATGATGATAAGCGACAAATATGTGAAGATATGTATAAAACTTTGCCTTGGCGACATTATAGCAATTTATTTTAAATAGCATTATATTTTAACTAATGATGAAATATGAAATAATGAAGAATTAAATGATGAAATAAAGTAATAGTAATTTATAAAAAAATTATAAACATACATAAACATAATAAGCAAATGAAAACAAATTACTTTATTTTGAATATTCTTTACTGCCAATATGTTCTATATTGTAACTAGTATATCGTTATTATAACTCTAGCTAAAATATAAAAACCTTTATATGTAAGTTGAAATAAAAATACTGTATTATCATAATCATATTTTGTTTTATTTATCATCCCATTAGAATTAGATCCTTAAATACGAAATATTACATAAAAACAATAGATTTAAATACACTTAACTTTTACAACAGAGTTATACATGTCGAAAAAATTAATCATTTATTTATAGACATTTTATTAACATAAATTTTATTAATTGATTTCAAACTTAAATACTAGATTTGCTTAGTTTTTTTACCACTTTACAAACTAAATGTTCTGTCTCATCCATGATGTCATCATATGCACTTGTCACTCGATATTGCACTTTCACAGCTGCATTTCCAGATTCAGTATTTATTTCATCGATATTACGACCATCTAAATTATGTATTGTAATTTTTATTAAATGACGTACATCACCCGTTTCCTTTCGCATGATAAATGATGTATTTTTCAAAGAATTTGATTTGAGTTTTTTCTTTTTTATTTTTTCCTCCGATTTTTGGCGACGGCTCTGCTCGCACGTCTTTGTCGCCACTTCATCGTACCAGCCTTGCCTATCTTTGAGCATAGTAAAATAGATTAGTAATTGGGTTTGAGTCTTCTATCAAATTCTGAAAGCCAGATATAAAATTATTACCCATGAATTTAAAATCAATTAAAAATAATAAAAATTAATAGTAACTTATCTCATATTTTCTAAGCTATCCAAAACAGGACTGTAAGAAAAATGAGTATAAGTTACATATTTTATTACATTTATAAGAGTTAGAATTACGATAGAAAATAGAATAAGTTACTTTATTATTTAAATATTTCATTTAAAGTACTTACTCCAAATTTCAGCTTAAGAAACAAACGTGCTCTTTATAGAAAGTACTGTGTGTACTGTGTGATTGCGTGTTATAAGATGAGAATTGTATAATTTACAGAATAAGAATAATATACTCAGGATTTGTAAGACCAGAATAGCATTATTTTGCAAAGTAAGCATAGATCTACTAAGAAATTTGTAACACGAGAATAGGAGAACATTTAGCAGAACAGACATGATGTGACATGCATTTCTCTCTAATATTGTTCATGCAAAATTTAAATATATACCTATGTTTGTAGGTTAGTAACTCATTCAATAAGCACGATGAAGTTGATCAAACAACCCATATCGCTAAGCGTTAGCAATATTAATATCGATCACTCTGCTCACAAGATCAGACATGGCATTTTCTTACCAAATACCTTTCGCTGTATAATATGCGTTCCCTCTAATTGCGGTAAAACAAACGTTGTAATAAGTTTATTGTTGCATGAAAATGGGCTTAAATTTCAAAATCTTTACTTGTATTCAAAAACTAACTATCAATCAAAATATCGTTTTTTACGAGAAGTAATTAAGAGAGTACCTAATATTTCATTTTATGAGTTCAATGACAACAAAGACGTTATAGGTCCAAGTGAAGCTTTAAACAATTCTGTATTTATTTTTGATGATGTTGCTTGTGAAACTCAAATCAACATTCGTAATTATTTTTCTATGGGCAGGCACAAGCAAATCGATTGCTTTTATTTATCTCAGACCTACTCAAAAATTCCGAAACAATTGCTACGAGGCAATGCCAATTTTATTATAATATTTAAACAAGATGATGTGAACTTAAAACATATTTATGAAGAACATGTTAGTTCTGATATGTCATGGAATCAATTTAAAAATATTTGTAATATAGTTTGGAGTAAGCCGATTGTTTGTATTGACAAAGACTCACAGTTAAACAATGGCAGGTATAGAAAGAATTTTGATGTTTTTTTTAACCTAGAGTAAACTATTATAAACGGGTTATTAGATAAAACTATTTAGTTTTATTGTAGCCGCGATAGAATGAAGTATTGTAAAGCATTATGGAAAAGCAAATTAAAATGGAATTAATGAAGTCTGTGGACTCCATAAAGAATAAAATAAAAAAAATGAAAAATAATGAGCATGAACTGAACTTATCCCTAGATAAAATGCTAAAACCTGTTACAGAGCTCCTTCAAACCATAGTAAATAAGCAAAAACCAAATCAAGACCATAATTTATCGATGCAATCATGCGCAAGTTCTGTTGGATCATTTGAATCGGAATTTCAGAACTATTACGATGCTGACTTGAGTTCTGCAGAATCCCCAAAAAATGAAATTAAAGACAATTTAGAGGCTTCATTAGATCGGAATTATATCTATGATATTTACGATGATAAATTAAATATACCATTTGGGATAAGAAAAGAAAAGAAAACTTATATGATGGGAAATTCAGAAGTTACTTTTTCTAAAATTGGAGACAAATCTTACAATTTAACTATCGGGTTAAGAGAACTTCTACTTAGAAAAAAACCTGATTTGAATTTAGTATCAAGCGCTGATAAACTCGTGTACAAAGATATTCTACGCCATACTAACGCTCATAAGAGAAATTTTAACCCTAGAGGTCAAATAAGAGGTGATAAGGGAATTAAATATCGAAAAATAATTAAACCATTATTTTCCGAGACCTTAAACAAATATAAAAAAATCGAAGAAAAGCTTGGAGGTAATTTACCTAAGCTTAAGAAACATAAAATCAACACTGATATTGTATATTGGGACGATCCAAATGAATTAGTTAATATATTAAAACTTTTAATAGCTTCAAGAGATGCCGGCAATACAAATCATGATAATGAAATTTTATCGATCATTGAAGAATTAAAAGAAGCTAACATTATAAAGAAATAAAATACTAATTATTACTAGCTTTTACTCAGTATTGGTGAAGTTGCTCATGTTGCAAATTACTAAAAAAATTGTCTGTATTTATTTAAGTAACAAGCAGCATAAACGAATTATTTTTAATAACTGCCAACATAAGAATAAAATAAAATACATTATTTTTTTGAACATGAGTAAAGCCGATGTAGTAAATGAAATTCATAGAAATGCTAGGGTGAATTTCCCACGTAGAAATGTTATTACGAAAGATATAGATGATTTATGGCAAGCAGACTTAATTGATATGCAATCAGTTACTAAGGAAAACAAAAACTTCAGATTTATTCTTACCGTTATTGATACATTTTCGAAATACGCTTGGGCTTTTCCAATTAAGACTAAAAGTAAAGAGGACGTATGCTATAATTTTATGAAGCTTCTAAAACACGTGTACCCAAAAATCTGCAAAGTGACAATGGAACAGAATTTTATAACGATAAGTTAAAAAAAATTAAGAATTCTTATAATATTAATCATTACTCAACCTTTTCAACAAAGAATGCTTCCATAGTTGAACGATTTATTCGAACTTTGAAATCTAAATTGTATAAAGTATTTAGTTTACAGGGTGATTATAACTGGATAGGCGATACTCTTAATAATGTTATTTACGAATACAATCACACTTATCATCGAACTATTGGTGAAATTCCAGCCAATAATAATAATAAAAATAAAAAACGAATACTACAGAGATACCTTAGATTGGTAAAGAATGATAATGTAAAACGTAAGTTTAATGTAAGTGATTATGTGCGTATAAGCAAATACAAAGGTACATTCGAAAAAGGATATACTCCAAATTGGTCGACAGAAATATTTAAAATTCGAAAATTACAGAACACAATTCCAACCACTTACTTAATTGAAGATACAATTAGAGGTCAACCAATTTTAGGAGGATTTTATGCGCAAGAGCTACAAAAGACCAAAAATCCAAACATATACTTATTTAGTCGAAAAAGTTTTAAGAAGGAAAGGAAATAAAGTTTTAGTAAAATGGTTAGGTTTGTCTTCTAGTGAAAACAGTTGGATCGATAAGTCAAATATATATAGTAAAGGCGCTACAGGGACCACCGACCAAGAAGGAAGCATTAAGCGCAGTCATGTCTGTGTTTGACCCGCTTGGACTGCTAAGCTACCTCACCATCACCGCCAAGATCCTGCTACAAGACCTATGGCGTATGAAGAAGGTCGGATGGGATGACGAACTACCCGAGGAGGTAGCAGAGGAATTTCATAGGTGGCTGCGAGTCGTCGAGGAGGTGTCACGACTGCGACTGCCAAGGTGCTATGCTCCTACGGGGCGAGTGGTAGAGCGTCAACTTCACGTGTTTAACGATGCAAGCGAACGTGCGTACGCATCCGCGGCATATTGGCGTATACGATATAGCGACGGAACGGTTAGGGTGCGATTAGTGGCGGCTAAGGCGAAAGTCGCTCCAATCAAAGCGCAAAGTATACCGCGATTAGAGTTGCAGGCGAATTTAATAGGCGCGCGACTCGCGGAATTCGTGCAAGGCGAACACAGAGTGGTAGCGGATAGGGTCGTATATTGGACGGACTCTACTACGGCGCTCCACTGGATACAAAATGATACGGCGCGTTACACTCCATACGTGGCTCACCGGTTAGGGGTGATAGCTGAGAAGACATCACCCGAGCAATGGAGGTGGATACCGACTGCGGAAAACGTAGCGGATCAAGCAACGCGTATGAATTTCGCAACCAAGGAAGAAAGCGATAAGTAGTTCACAGGACCACCCTTCCTCTACGAGAACGAAGACAGATGGCCCCACCGACAGGAAGAGAAGGCAGGGGACGATGAAGAGTTGGAGGAAATCGTGGCGCACCAGAGCGACACCCAGGAAGCTCCACACCTGCCAGACATAGAACGATTCTCTGCCTACGAGAGATTAATCAGGGCCACAGCGTGAGTACTACAGTTCGTCGATACGGCACGAGGAAGGGCACGAGAATTGACATTGCAGCACATCCAGAGGGGAGAGCGGATGTGGATAGAACATAGCCAACGTGAAAGCTTCGCTGAAGACATCAGCCGCCTTCAGCTGGGAAGGAATTTAGCCACCGGCAGCGCACTGAGGAAGCTCGACCCCATATTGGAAGATGGAGTGCTACGAGCCAGGGGAAGGATCGACGCAGCCGACGTGGACGGCCAAATGAAGAGACCCATCATACTGAACGGGCGCCACCAATTCGTAAAGCTGCTTGTGGAGAAGGCGCATCAGGAAGCAAGCCACGCCAACAGAGAGAGAGTGGTGAACGACCTGCGCACTAGGTTTCATATCCTCCGATTACGACCTACAGTACGAGAAGCGGAGCGGAGATGCCTACGGTGCAGAGTACGGAAGGCGATACCACGGCCTGCGGTTACAGGAGATTTACCACCCGAACGATTAGGGGCGTTTGCGCGACCATTCACGTACACCGGAATTGATTACTTCGGGCCTCTGACAATTACGATAGGACGACGGCACGAAAAACGGTGGGTGGCACTATTCACGTGCCTAACGACGCGCGCAGTGCATTTAGAAATAGTTTACTCTCTGACCGCGGACTCGGCGATATCGGCATTGCGGCGCATGGCGGCTAGGCGTGGGTGGCCACGGGTTGTTTACTCTGACAATGGTACAAACTTTCATGGGGCGAATACAGAACTGCGACGGGCGATGGAAGAGTGGGCACCGCAGTTGAAGGATTACGCGTTGACTCGGCGAATCGAATGGAAAATAGTCGCACCGGGTGCGCCTAACCAGGGAGGCGCATGGGAGCGTCTCTTACGCTCAGTGAAGACCGCACTCGAAGCCACTCTACATCAGACAAGCCCACGAGAAGAGACGTTGGCAACGCTCCTGACAGAAGCAGAAAACACAGTGAATTCTCGACCGTTGACGCACGTACCGGTCGACATCAACGACGAAGAGGCGCTGACACCCAACCACTTCCTACTGTTGGGACCATCGGGCCTACCAGTCACCGCGCCGTGCACACCCATGGATTTTCGGGCGTGGAGAGCAGCGCAGGGGCTCGCTGACGAGTACGGGTGGCGCTGGGTGAAGGAATACCTGCCGACGCTGGTTGCGCGCGGGGACTCCCGAGATGCTCAGCAGCGCCAAATTCAAGAAGAGGACCTCGTCGTGGTTGCTGATAGCAATCTGGCAAGAAATGTGTGGCCGCGGGGTATCGTGACGAAAACATTTCCTGGACCAGACGGCGTGGTGCGCAACGTCGAGGTCAGGGCCAAGGGAGGAGTGCTGCGGCGGCCCGTCAGGAAGATCGCCGTCCTCCCGAGGGAAGCTTAGGCTCGCAGGCTACGCCAGGGGGAGGATGTAGCGAACAGCGAAGGAGACCGCCGCTCCGTCGCCCCTTCACACCCCGGTGCGCCCCGCGCACCCCGCACACCGGCAGCAGATCACGCGATGTCGCCGACCAATCAGCGCGCGGCATCGCCTTACGACGCTACTCACGAACCGAGACGCTCTCTTGCGGGATATAAGAAGGGCGTTTTGGTCTGTGAGCTGTTCATTTCGGAAGCGGCACTTGAAGAGAAGAAACAGCAAGAGAAATCAAGACTCCAGAGAAATCCAGAAGACTCCCCTCTGTATATAGTTTATTAGTGCCACATTTGTATATAGTTGAATACAGTATAGTTCTTAGTACCATCTTTTCTTTAAGCAGTCCCCTAGCGTAGTCAGTCATACAGTCCACTTGTAATAGTAAATTAATACAGTCCACTTCGATCCCTAACACACTATATGACATGCAACAAATCTCTATAAACAACTACTAATAAGTATGTGACACAATATAAGACATACAGCAAATCTTTATAACAACTACTAATAAGTATGTGACACAATATTATAAAACACACAACACTTTGCATAGGCATACAAACATTAATTATGTATTTGACAAACACTATAAAGACATACAACAGATCTTTATTTGGCAATAACTACTACAATTACATAGTAGTTGATGTATATCTTTATAGTGATTGTCACAATCACTATAAAGATATACATCAACTCTTTATAGGCATACAAAAAACATTAATAAGCTTACGTACAATTGTAAGCTTACGTGACTAAAACTTAAATAACTACATAGATCGTCTTAAAGGATATTCAACATTAATAACGTCTTAAAACTAAGCTGTTATTTACAATCTCCCCCTCGTGCGTAAGCACTAAAAAAACTGTTTTAGTCCGTTGTCGTAATTGCGATGAGACGAGAGGCCGGACGGCGCACCAATCCCGTTGCTGTTCTTATTTCAGTTATTCGGACGCGCCCATCTGGGCCTGGGTGGACTTCCGTCACTTTGCCTCTAGGCCATACTCCTCTAGGCATTGTGCCATCACAAATTATCACGATGTCCCCAACTTTTAGATTTTTGTGTTGAGAGTTGAAGCTGGACCGGGACATTAAAAGAGGTCTGTATTCCGCTAACCAGCGTGCCCAAAACTTGTCGGCTAGTGCTTGAGTGGCTTTCCAGGAGCGTGGGTTCAACTGTGTGTCTTTAAATGAACCAAACGGTGACATCTCGCTAGAGCGCCCAATAAGAAAGTGATTGGGTGTCAGCGCTTCTTCATCCAAGTTGGGGTTCACCGGAGTCAGTGGCCTCGAATTAATCACATGCTCGGCTTCCAGCAGTAACGTGTGCAGCACTTCGTCAGGGGGCGACCTCTCCTTTAGTGTGACTTTTAATGCTGTTTTTACTGATCTGATCAATCGTTCCCAGGCACCGCCCATGTTTGGAGCTCCAGGTGGTATCTTTTTCCAGATGATCAGCTTTTCAGATGCGAAGGTGGTAAGGCTATGGTCGTTGTTTTGCATAGCTTCAGCGATTTCTCTTTCAGCACCCACGAAGTTGGTTCTGTTGTCACTGTATATCACGGTCGGTGTGCCCCGGCGAGCCATCATTCTTCGTAGGCTCATGATCATGGAAGAGGCCGTGAGGGCTGTGGCCACTTCTAAGTGCACAGCGCGTGTAGTGAGGCATGTGTATAAGGCACCCCACCTTTTTCTATTCTTCGCCCGACTGTGATCTGCATGGGCCCGAAGTAGTCTACCGCGGTTGCAGTGAAGGGCGGTTGATTCTGGGCCAGCCTTTCCACTGGTAAGTCGCCTAAAGGGATTTCTGATGGGATCCCCCTATAGGTCCGACACCATTGGCATTGGTTTCATATATTGCGTATAACGCCGCGTAGTCCTATTATGTGGTATCGCTGTCTCAGTTCGTTCATGACGGTCTGGTGATTGCCATGATTGAAGGTTGCGTGCGTGTGATGCACCAACAGTCGAGTGAAGCCTTCTTTGGCGTGTTGAACTGGCTGATTGTGTTCGTTTTTTATTTTGCTATCTAAACACATAATGCCGTTGCGGTCGATCTTCACGGATAGTTTGTAGAATGGTGACTTCTTGGGTGGTCGCCGCCCAGCCTCTATGGTCGCGATGTCTTCGGCGAATGAGTTATATTGACTCCTTCTTAAGGGCAATAACTCCGCTAGTTTTATATGGCTCGGTGGGAGTTCAACATTTGTGCCTATTTTGAGTGAGCTTTAAATATCTCAGCGGCGAGCAAAACGGTGGCAGCGACGCGAACTAATCAACTGTATTTTGAAAATCGCTCTAACTCGGGTAAGTAATCGCTAACGTTACGCTTAATGATTACGTGAACTTGTTTCAATATTCTTTCTTCCCCTGAAGGGGGTAACGATGTTTCATTTCGTTTGTCCTGCGGCCACGTCGCGGGGTCGTTCCTTATAAACGCGGGTCCGGTAAACCACCTGTATTTCGAATTAAAATTGGCAGGTACGCCCTTGGTTGCGTCGTCCGCGACGTTATCTGAGCTGGGTACCCATCGCCAATTGGTTGGCGAGGTTAGGCTTTCGATTTCAGCCAATCGGTGTGCGACAAACGACTTGAACGTGCGCGGGTCCGATTTTATCCAAGCTAATACAGTTTTAGAGTCTGACCAATAATAACATTTTAATATTTTGTAATCCGACTCGCGTCTGACCGATTCAGCTAATCGACTGCCTAACACTGCGGCTTGAAGTTCTAACCGGGGAATCGATATTGGTTTTAACGGAGCTACTTTGGCCTTGCCTGTTACCAATCGCGACGTCTTAGTGCCGTCCCTTTTTGCACTTACGAAATATACAGCAGCGGAATACACCTTTTCACTCGCATCACAGAAAATGTGTAACTCCCCTTCTCCAGGTGACGTAGTAGGTATGTACCTATCTATTTCTAACTTTTTTAACAGCTTTAAGTTATTTATAAGTGATAACCATGTCACGTGATGCTCGGTTGTGATGGGGTCGTCCCAATCTATCCCACTACGCCATATTTCCTGTATAAGACATTTGCCTATCATTGTGATAGGCGAAACTAAACCTAGCGGGTCAAATACCGACATTACTGCGCTGGTTACCTGACGCTTGGTAGGTGTGTTTCTAAGATTGACATTGAAGCCTAACGTGTCGCGTTTGTGATTCCAAATAAGACCTAATGTCCTCTCCGAATCACTTTTACCTAGCGTGATTGTGTCGCTTCTACGCGTATCAGTGACGTCGCTAATTACCTCGGGCTCGTTCGACGCCCACATGCGTAACTTGAAGGATGCGTTTCTATGTACTTTGCACATATCGTTTACTATTGACTTCGCCTCGCTTTCGGAGTTGAACGCGCCTAAGTAGTCGTCCATATAAAAGCTACGTACTGTAGCCTTCGCGATCTCGGGATGTTGATGATTGTGATTTTCTGCGTTTTTATTTTTTACATAGATGGCCGTGGATGGTGATGATGCCGCCCCGAATATTAACGACGTCATCCGATAATCTTGCGGCGGCCCCTCTCTATTCTCGCCCCTCCATAAAAATCGTAAGTTATCACGGTCCTCTTGTATAATTTTTACTTGTAAAAACATTTCTTTTATGTCGGCTACGACAGCAATACGACCCTCTCTAAACCTAATGAATACGCCGAATAACGACTGTAGTAAGTCAGCGCCTGTTAATAACGCGTCGTTAAGGCTTTTTCCCCCGCATTTGACTGCTGCGTCGAACACTAACCTTATTTTGCCCTTCTGAGGGCGTATGACTGCGAAATGCAGCAAGTACCAGCTGCGTGGCGACGTGGCTGGGGCGACTACTTGCTCAGCATAGCCTGCTTCTATAAGGTTGTTTACCTGCTTACTATATTCGGTTTTTAGGTTTTCATTTTTATCTAATTTATTTTCTAAGCTATATAGACGACTGCGGGCTTGTTTTTTATTGTTTGGCATCTCCTCAGTGTCTGTTCGCCAGAGTAAGCCCGCTTCGTACCTATTGCTATTGTCCGTTTTTTTACAAGTCTTATCTAGAATAGCTAGGGCTCGCTGATCCGGGTCAGATGTTGGTCGGGGTGCCTCTATTCCTAGAGATTCTATGCTGAAAAAATTTCTTATGAGCTCTAATGCGGGGTCGTAAGTGCTTTGTTTGTCGTGCTCCTGGAGGTGGTATACAGACAAAAACACATTTATGTCGACTCGTAAAACAACCATTAAAAACTTCCGATAATTTGCTAGGTGAAAATGGTGTTCTGCTAACACACCAGCGAAACAAATACCACTAATTAGCTGTCGAAGCAGGGAAGAATTTTTGTAGAGTTTTCATAAATCGGAAATTAACACAATGAACCAAGTAAATAGTCAAAGACTGAAACAAATAAATGAAAATAGAGAACGTTTGCGACCAACCGTAAAAACTATAATATTTTGTGGCCATCAAAATATATCGTTACGTGGCCATCGCTACGATGGTAAATTGCTGAACTATGACAGCGTATAGCCGATGAAGGGAATTTTAGAGCCCTTTTAAAATTCCGTATTGATTCTGGCGATATTGCATTGAAGCAACATTTAGAATCTTCAAAATCCAACGCCACGTACATCAGCAAGACTGTACAAAATGAGTTGATAGATGTTAGCGCAGAAATCGTTCAGGAAAACATTTTACAGAATGTGCGGGAAGCTAAATATTTTTCAATTTTGTTCGATGAAACAACAGATATATCACATATCTCACAGCTGAGCCTATCATTCCGATATTTGCATGATGATATTATTAAAGAACATTTTGTGACTTTTGTGATACCTACGATGCTCTTAGACGTGAAGACAACAATTCAGGTGATATAGAGCCTCGATTGACAGGTGTAGCATTGGCAAAAATCGTTGAAAATCTGTGTACCAAATTTAACTTAGATTTATCTTGGTGTGTGGGTATTGGAACTGACAGCTGCTCGGTTATGGCATCAGATACAAAAGGTGCAGTGCAAAAAGGTAAAGTGTTACTCGTAATTAAAATATCATTCGAATATCTAATGCTTTAATGACCACAGTAATGTCATCATGCCTTTTACAGTCCAGTCCAATAAAAACAATCAATGATTATTTCGTGACTACAATATATAGCACCATCTTTTAAGGCATCTTATTCATTAAGACACTAATATAACAAACAAATTTGAAGTACTTAGACTGTTACTCATAAAAACCGTCTATTTAAGAAATGCTTAATGTTGATCTCTCTCTTTTCACTAAATGATAAGAGACAGAGAATTGATTCACCGACTTTAAGTAAGGCTGTTAGTTTAAACTAATTTAATTCCAGTGGCTGGTTCAAAATAATATTTCGTGTGATTTGCGATGTTGAGATATCAGGGATAAAGGTAATTCTTCATCATCATCATTACATTTACTAGTCCACTGCTGAACGTAGAACTTCATACCGCTAACCACTGTTATAAATATGAAATTGAAGGAAATAATATTTAGAATATTCAAAAGGATAATAGTGGGCAAAACGTTAGTACGTTACCAATCGGCACAGGAACCAGGCAAACGGTTAACCACACTTCACCAACACTTAATAATTCAGCGCGAGACCACAGATATAACGCTCCGTACGTACCCGTGCAACAACCATGTGCTCAATAACTCATTGGTAAGATCATCCAAAGTAGTTTCCTGTCGCAATACATCCGGCACAATGAGAAAAGTTCTGGCTTTTGCCAATGAATCCGCTAAGAGGCATGAAATTTTTAAAATATAACTCGGAGCTGCCATGCAAGTTATTTGTGAGACACGTTGGGTAGAGAGGCATGATGGGCATCTTCAATTTCAAGGAGATAACTTAGTCAAAATTTGTAGCGCTCTGGAGAAGATTTCTGCTTGGCAAGACAATAAAACTGCCAATGATGCGCATTGCTTGCTGCAAACATTGCGCAGTTCTGACTTTATTATATCCTCCATCTGTTTAAGTGATGTATTAGGTGGGTACTTCCCTAAATTATTTTATTTCTTATTGTTTGGCAAATGAACTTATATGAGTATACTAAACCTATTTTAAAATTATGTTGTTGTTTTGTTAATATTTTTTGCTACGAGTACATACCGTTTATATTAAGTTATAAATTCTTAGTTTATGCACTACAGTCACAGTCACTTTTTATTTTTCAGGTACTACTGTATCTTTAAGCAGAATACTGCAATCGAACTCAATTGATTTAAAAAAAGCTACGGACGCTATTAATGATACTTTAAGTGTTTTACAAAATAAAAGAGAAAATGTAGACTTAATCTACCGACAGATTTTTGAAGACGCTAAAGAAGTAGCTGAGCAGCTAGATGTAGAAATTAAATGCCCCAGAATAGTATCAAAACAAATACATAGGGCAAATAACCAACCTGCTCAATTTGCTGAAGAGTATTTCCGCAGAGCTATATACATCCCTCTTCTAGATTCAATAATAAGTGATCTCCAGGACCGCCTGTCTCCTTATGTACTTAATTTGTTTCAGCTAAGCGTTTTCATGCCAAAAAGCGAATATAGTAATGAACACATTGAAACTGTGAAACAACTAGCTACCGACTATACAGGATTACTAGATAACACGCCAGTTTCTGTCATTGTAAATAAATATCGGCTGTGGATGGTGAAGTGGCAGGCGTGGCAGCGGAGCCAGGACATAGCGCAGTTGATTTCTGATCTTATTTCAAATTGTGACATCGATATGTATCCTAATATTAAAAAAAAAATTATGTATTATGGCTACACTACCTGTCAGTGTAGCGACAGCAGAAAGGTCTTTCTCTACGTTGCGCAGAATAAAATCGTGGCTAAGATCTTCAATGGTTGAAGATCGCCTAACCGGACTGGCACTTCTCCACGTTCATAAAAACGTACCCATTGACGTAATAACGCGTTTCGGGAGAAGACGTAAAAGAAAAATTGATTTTGTTATTTAAATATATGTATTTTGTCTGTTTCTATTTTGTTTGTTGGAAACTCTTGTCTCCACCTCTTCACGTTTGCGGAGTTTTGCGTCATACCCCTCGACATACCTCTAGCTGTTATGACAAATCATTCACCACGGTTATGGAATATAAATAGGCTGCTTCATTCCGTGCCTGATAGTGCTTCTCTGGATGTCTTTAAGAGAAGATGGCAATATGTACGTGTGCAAGTTATTATGTGTTAAGTTTTTCAAGTGTGCAATAAAGAATTAAATATTTTTAAGTACAGTACTTACGCACATTAATAAAATACCTACTTTTTACTTGTATCTATTGTTATCAAAATTAAATTATAAGTTCTTGACTTGACCACGACTATGTGACCCCCTCCTGGCGCCAAAGCTGGATCCGCCTGTAGTGTTTGCATATATATAGTATACAGTAAATATTGTTATTTGTTTTATTTACTAATAATTTACCATGCACAAATACACAAACATACATTTATAATTCACTGTCTCGAGCGCACCGCGTCAGTTACACGAGAGCCTCGGGCGAGAGTGGACGTGTTTAGTTAAGTGCGTGCCGAGCCTGTGTTACACTACACTGATTAGAGAAGATAGCAGACAATACAAGTGGCGACGAGAAAAAAGGTAAGTACCTGTTTAATATAAGGATATCAACAAAAATAGGTTAGCAATGTGCAACTATTAGCATTGCAATTGCAAATTGTAAACTAAATCCTAGAGTACCCGCGGAAAAAAACTTTGGATTATGATTTATTGTTTTAACCCTGTTCTGATCATTTTAATAATTTATATAAATTATATGTTCGCATATAACCACGCTTATGGTGTGCAAAATTTATTTTCTTTATGTAGCAATGATAAAATAATGATTTATTTTAACATATGTCTATTAGCACAACTTTTATTTAAAAAGATTTTTGATGGAAAAATAGTAGATGTAACTAATCACTCCTCTCGATTCGAACCGAAATACGATGTCGTTAGCTAAATTTTAGTGGCATTTTACATGTAGGTGTGATATTTATCGCCTTTAATGAAAATACTATTTTACCGCTTTCATGGCATATATAAGTATTACAAAAAAATCGTGGACACTTCACGACTTCTGTAAATTGCATAGTAGGTAACTAGTAATACTGTAAATGCGCATTATAGGTATTGAATTTACCCAAAGCCTAAATGGCACAGCAATGGAAGTAGTCGGTATAACAAATAAACCGAAAGAGAAAGGCGTGTGTTATAGAACATATTACTATCATGAAATTGAGTTTGGGTACCAAGATACCAACCATTAAATTGGTGTTGGGTACTAAGATACAATCATTAAATTGAATTTGGGTACTAAGATACCATCATTAAATTGAGTTTGTGTACTAAGATACCATCATTAAATTGAGTTTGGGTACTAAGATACCACCATTAAATTGGAGTTTGGGTACTAAGATACCACCATTAAATTGGAGTTTGGGTACTAAGATACCACCATTAAATTGGAGTTTGGGTACTAAGGTACCACCATTAAATTGGAGTTTGGGTACTAAGGTACTATCATTAAATTGGACTTTGGGTATTAAAATACCAGCATTAAATTGGAAATAAAAATATAAGGAACTGTTTCAGTTTCCCCTTAAAATAATAATAATGGCAAGTATGATACCGTTATCAGCTTTAGAAAAATTGGATCTCGAATGTGATAGCACATCTATTAGGTGGGAAAAACGGAAAAGGTCTCTACTAATCTATCTGAACGCAGCTGAAGTTATATCAGCACTCAAGAAACGAGCTACGCTATTGCAACTATGGCTCTGGGATACATGAAATATTCTACAATTTACCGGGTGCCAATGTCGAATCATCAGAAACCGTTGATTATTTAAAGTAGCCATAGAAAAACTCGACGAGTATTTTCAACCTAAACAGAGCAAAGTTATGAGCGGCATGTTTTTCGTTTGCTAAAACAGGAAAAAGTAGAAAAATTTGAGAAGTTTTTGATAAGATTGCGTCAACGAGCCGAAAAGTGTGCATTCGAAAAGCAAGATGATCATCTCATAGATCAAAATGCGGAAAAGTGTAATTCGACGAAATTGCGCAAGAATCTTATATCTGATAAAACGCAGTAAGAGTTAAAAAGCAAAAAAGTATATGCTTTTAATCAAATTAAAAGACCAGACAAGACATTATTAGCATATGGTAGTAACTCTCCTTTGGCAATAGAGGGTTCATTTGAAACTATACTCGAAGTCGATGGACGAAAGGAACATACAACCATTTACGTGATTTCGGGGGGGTACTAGAGACCTGTTGGGTAAGAACACAGCAGTCCGTCTGGGTGTTTTAAAACTTGGTACCGGGATAAATCAAGTGGAGGTAACACCTTTTCCAAAATTCAAAGACATATTAATAGAGATTCCCATTGACGATTCTATAAAGCCCGTATGCCAACCATGTCGCAGAGTACCGATCCCCATTGAAGAGAAGGTTGCAATTAAAATTAAGGAATTACTAGACAGTGATATAATTGAAGAAGTGCACGGCTCATCTAAATGGGTTTCACCAATAGTTCCAATCATGAAAGGAAATGGTGGATTGCGTTTGTACGTAGATATAAGATGTGCGAACGCCGCTAACTTGCGAGAAAACCACCCCTTGCCTACTATGGACCATTTTTTGCCTAAAATGAAGAAGGCTAAATATTTTAGCAAATCAGACATAAAAAATGCCTTCCATCAAGTGGAAATTCACTCTGAATCCAGACACATAACGACTTTTATAACCCCTAAAGGATTATATAGATATAAAAGATTAATGTTGGGATTACCTGTGCTCCCGAGATTTTTCAGAAGATCATTGAAAGTATTCTGATAAACTGTGAAAGGGTCGTCAATTTTATTGATGATATCCTGGTATTCGGGAACAGTGAAGAAGAACATGACGCAAGACTAAAGAAGGTTCTACAGGTACTTAGTGAAAACAACGCTATACTGAATAGCAATAAATGCATATACAAAACGCAGGATGTGAATTTTCTGTTACACAGGCTTACACATGAAGGAGTAAAACCCCTCAATATGTACGTTGCGAGCATTGTGAATTTTTTTTTGTATAGGATAGGGTGACAAACGAGCACACAGTCCACCTGATGGTAAGTGGTTACTGTGACCCATAGACATCTACATCTATCCTCAATAAAGACTCAAGATGCAGATGCGTTGTCGCCCGTGAGGACTAAGATGGAATGCCTCTTTGCCAGTAAAAAGGGTCTCCGGTTCTCTACACTCACCATACGAAACACAGCAGCGTTAAGCTGCTATTTTACGCTGGTTTTCTGTGAGAGCGTGGTCCTTCCCCGGTCGAGCCGACCCATTCGTGCTTCAACTATACTACTAATACAGCTGCAGCAAGACTAAGGGAGCAGGCCCGGATGGAATACCCTCTTTGTTTGTAATTCAATGCTGTGAATCTCTCTCCTTTCCTCTAACAATAATATTTAATGAGTCTTTAATGAATGGCGTATTTCCCTCGATCTGGAAGGAGGCGAGAATTGTTCCAGTTTTTAAGTCGGGAGATTCAGCATCCGTGAAGAACTATAGGGCCATTTCGATACTCTCAGTCTTTGGGAAGGCATTTGAATCGTTGGTTTGCCCGGTCTTGTCCTATCACATAAAGCATTTAATTTCTCCTCGCCAATCAGGTTTTTTAGCATTTCGCTCAACGGTTACTAATTTGATCCCGTTTGTGGATTTTGTTTCTAACTCCCTTGATTCACGTATTTCTATAGACACCATATACACCGACTTTAGTAAGGCTTTCGTTTCAGTTGATCACAAAATTTTACTGGGTAAACTTTCTCGTTTGGGTATGTACGGCAGCCTTCTGGAATGGTTTGAATCCTATCTTTATCAACACAAGTCGCGCGTTGTGGTTAATGGCTACTCATCGCACTCCTTTCAGCCAACTTCCGGCGTTCCACAAGGTTCGCATCTGGGTCCAATCCTCTTTAATATATTTATTAATGATATCGTGGGTATCTTTGATCATGCTGCTTGTTTCCTTTACGCTGATGACATGAAACTATCTATGCAGATCAGAGGTATTAATGATTCATTGTTATTACAGGAGGATTTAGATCGACTCGCTGGATGGTGTAGGGAGAACAGGTTATATTTAAATACTGAAAAATGTAAATTTATTAGATTTTCGAGATGCAAAAGGAACTTGTCGCCGTCCTACAATATTGCCGGTCAAAAATTGCAAGAGGTGGACTCTATTCGCAATTTGGGCGTCATTATGGATAAAAAACTATGCTTTCACAAACACATTGACCAAGTCGCAACAAAAGGTTTCCAGATGCTAGGGTTTGTGCTGCGGAATGCAAAGGAATTCAAAAAGCCCTCAACAAAAATTCTCCTGTATTTGGCATTGGTTCGTTCGGGTTTGGAATATTGTAGTCAGGTTTGGTCCCCACATTATGAGGTCCATATTAAGCGAATCGAGCGAATACAGAAGAGATTTCTCTGGCATCTATCCTACCAATCTAAAAAAAGCCAAACTGCTGCCCTCATATAAGGAAAGTCTTGCCTATTTTAAAATGACTAGCCTAGCCTACAAGGGCGAAGATTGTTTTTGGATCAATTACTTTTTTATAAGATTATCAATGGCCTCATTGACTGCCCTGCGTTATTGAGATCTGTCAATTTTAATATCCCATACAAGTTGCCGTGTCGCGTACGATACGTTTTATTTTCACCAAAAGGTGCCAAAAGTAGCTTAGGTCACCACGCCACCATGAATCGCTTACAGAGACAGTACAACGTAATATCTAAGTCTTACAACATCGACATCTTTTCTGACAAGCCGTTGAAATTTAGACGCAAGCTCGGTCAGTTTCTCGAGTCAATGGTGTCTGTTTGATTCAAGTATCTATATCTATTGTTTGATTTTTTTTAACATATAAAAATAATGATTGTTAAATGATGAATAAAA